AGCAAGGCTGTAATGATGGGCGGTATATTAGGGGCATGACCTTGTGACGGGATGCACGAAGTATACGCCCTCTATGACTTTTATTGGCTGGATAGGCCACATGACCGGCTCCCCTTCCCTATTATAATGTGATCCAGCAGTGCGGCTCTTTTTAATGCCCCGGACGAAGGCGCTCTAGTAGCGCTGAAATGTGCATCAGCTCACTGTTTTCTTTTTCTTATATCCTAGTACAGTCTTTCTAGCACTGATGGTGATTTAGTGGTAGATTTATAAGGGGGATTATTAAGCAGTAATATGCTTGCATGAGGACAATACTGGGGGGTGATTGGTGGCTTTACTAGTGGAACAATTGGGAGATTTTGAATGAAACATAGTAGACAGGAGGACCACCCCTTTTTTTGCATCAAGTTTTCTTTTTGCTTAATTTTTATAGCTAGCGACCTTGAAGTCAAATATACTATAGATAGCCACAAGAAGGCTGATGCATGTTTCCCCTTTTTGAGTGCAATCTGGAATAGTCCAGTCTTTTTTCTGGCTATATTGCTACACAAGGCTACCCCCACTCAGTCCAGCACATATACTCTCCTCCAATTTATCTATGGGGCCACTTTTGGCTTTTTAATGGTTCATTGTTATAATTGTATGTCCCTACGTATTTCTAAGAAAATTGTACATTTATTATTATTTTGTTTACATCCATTAGGGATCCTTTTGTGTACGTTGGACTTCAAATCCATTGGACATTTATGTGCTTATTTGTTTATAATATTAAAGGGGTTACCGCCTTCTTCAGGGTCCCTAAACACGCCACATAGTCCCTTTTAGGGATGTTATGTTTTTCTATATCTAATAATTGGCCTAATTTTTACCCACAGATTTTTGGAGCCCACTTGGGCCTCTATCCTAGGTAAGCCTTCCCTCTCAACATGCCTGCTCTAGGGATTTTAGTGTTTAGAGTGTACCGTTATTTCTTTCAACATTACATAAATATTGGAAGATATGATATTTAATTTTTTGCAATATGTATTATATTTCATACAGGATCCAAAATATTAGCACAGAAGCAGAAAAACATTTTGTAGGTGTAGCCAAAATAGTTAAATATAAAATTAGTCGTTCCTTGCTAATGGGTCTTTGTAATAGACCCAATGACTTCTTAATAAAAAGTCTTCCTAAAAATGCTGCCAGAATATGAAATATTGTCTGTTTATGGATATAATTAATTAAATAGTTATACCAAGCACCTGTACTATACATGGATCTGGGTCTGTTCTAATACTCTATACATATGGCTCCATTTGTCCCAAGGGGAGGAGAAGACTCAGCTTTGGGGACTTGATTTCAACCATTGTTAAACTTTTCCTTTCTTGCTTTAATTACTAATTAATTAATTACTATTGAATTACATTTTTTGCTATGAAGAAAAGCGACATATGGGTCATATTGGTCCCCCGCTGTAGATGGGTTGTCTGACCCATTAATTTTATTGCCAAATGTGAAGCATGCCATAATCATCAACATAATTTTAGCTCTCTCCCCTTCACCCAACCCCTGCAGTGAGCTTGATTATTGGTACAAATTTACAGTGTTGTCTAAGTTCAGGCATAAAGCTGCGTTTTGTACTGATTCCACGTCACGTTTTGCACCATTAGCATTATGTTGGGTTTGCAACTCACTGTTTTTCTATGATCAAACATAAACACTGTAAACAAATACGCCCATGCTTTCAAACATTAGCAATGCACATAATCACACCCCTAGATTGAAACACAAACACTTTAACCAAACACAGCTCTGCATTCAAATGCACACACTAGAATAAATCACACAACAGCATTCAAAAGCCAATACTACAGATACCACCTTGTATTCCCATGTCAAACTATACACAAAATCACCCCTGCATTCAAATGTTAACAGTATGCATAAACACAGAACCGCATTTAAATGCAAACACTACACACCCCTTCATTCACACATATACTCAATACAAAAACATGCTTACATTCAAACAAACAGACACTGCTCACAAATACAACCATGCAAGAATGGGTAAAAGTTGGGTAAAAGGCAGATCCCCAGCTGTCATAGCATAATAAGATTTGAGGATATACCTTGTAATCATCTCTGGCACTAGAAGGGGTCCCAACAAAATCCTTGCAGCATTGCCCTCTCTATATTTGCTCTTCCACTGTCTAGTACAGTGATGGCGAACCATTTGAGCCCGAGTGCCCAAACCGCAATACATGCCAACTTTTTTTTCCTCAAAGTGCCAACACGGCAATTAAACCTGAATACTGAGATTTAAGTTTAGAAAAAAACAACTCGTACAGTTGTCCGAACTAGTTCACATCTTTTGTTTTAAATGAAGAACACAACAGAGAGTTCAATGATACAAATTTTAAATAAGGATATAAATTAAGCTTATATTTATTAGTATCTCCAACAAATGCAATACATACACACAGACTGCTGAACACATTCACACACCAGCTGCTTAATACATACACACACTGACACACAGACAGACTGCTAAATACGCACACAGTCAACTAAATACACACACACACAAACATACACACAGTCCGCTGAATACACACACAGTCCGCTGAATACACACATAATGCTGAATACACACACACACACTGCTGAGTACACAGTCTGCTGAATACACACACACAGTCTGCTGAGTACACAGTAAGCTGAATACACACGCAGTCAGCTGAATACACACGCTGTAAGCGGAATACACTCACACACTGCTGAATACATAAAGACTGCGGAACACACACACACACATATAATGCATTGAGGGGTGAAGTCTATGTGTTTGTGTGTGAGGTGCTGTTGTGTGTGAGGGGTGCTGTGTGTGGGGGGGGTAGGGTGCTGTGGGGGGGTAAGGGTGTTGTGTGGGTGTGTGGGGTGGGTGCTGTGTGTGTGCGGGGGTAAGAGTGCTGTGTGTGTGTGGGGGTGGGGTGCTGTGTGTGTGGGGGTAAGGGTGCTGTGTGTGTGTGTGTGGGGGGGTGGGATGCTGTGTGTGGGGGTGCTGTGTGTGGGAGTAGGGTGCTGTGTGTTGGGAGGGTAGGGGTGCTGTGTGTGGTGGGGTAGGGGTGGTGTGTGTGTGGACGGTAGGGGTGCTGTGTGTGGGGGGTAAGGGTGCTGTGTGTGGGAGGGGTAGGTGTGCTGTGTGTGTGTGGGGGGGAGTTGAAGATGCATTACATTTTTTTTATTTTTTTTAAACATATTAAATACATATTAAATCAGTATTCCCCTCCCTTCTTCTTACTTTTGGTGAAGGGGAGGGGGGAACACAGCCATCCCTGTTGGTCCGGTCCTGCAGCTCTCCTGTCCTCTCGCGCGATGCTGTGTGGAGCGTTGCCATGGTAACGCGCGGCAACGCTACACACAGCTCGCGGGAGGACAGGAGAGCTGCTTCCTCGATCCCTCGGCCTGCTTCCGGTCCTGCTGACAAGAAAGCAGAGTAGGCGCCTGCCGTTTTGGGCAGGCAGGTGCCTACTCTGCATTGATGGCGAACCTATGGCCGCGTGCCCACAGAGAGGGCACGGCGTGCCACCTGTGGCAGGCGTGCCATAGGTTCGCCATCACTGGTCTAGTATATTAGGTTATATCAAAAAGATGGGGGGATTTATGGTAGAAAGGACCTAACCTCCTTCAATTCATATCTTCTATTATTGGTGAATTGTTACTTGTGATGTCTGGGGAAGCCACTTGAGAATTAATCAGGCAGTCACAGAGGAAACCCTTATATGTATTCAGTGTTAAATTGATTTCTTAATGTTTTTTCAATTTAAATGAGGGGCCTAGTTGCTGCACCATGGGCATCTATGTTGTACTTGCCCGCTGGGCTAAAAGTTGCCAATCAGCCCCTGCTGGTGACGCCAATTATGAACAGCCCTATTTAAAAAGGACACAGGTACATAGGTCGTTAAGAGCTGTGGAACATTGAGACAAGGTAGTCACAGGGGATACACTGGGATCCTAGAGGATCACCACATATTGGATCAATATAATGCAAAGAACATTAGGATTAGGCCGAACGGCAACATCAGCTCTACACGGTGCCACAGAAGATACCTGTACTTTATTAATGTGTAGGCTAAAGGACACGAAGCAAAATGACTAATAAACAGCATGAGAGGGAACGGGTAGAGAGTGCTTACATAGACAGACCCCCTAACCTAATTTTAGTTTCATTGGAATCCTCTACGCAAAAGCTAACCAAAGAGCCCTGAAATCCGAGGCCGGACAGGGCCAGTGTAATTACTTAAACACTCTGACGTAAAATTTGTTGTTCTGGGAGAAGGAAGAAAGTGTACTGTATGTTGTTTAAAGGACTACTCTAGGCACCCAGACCACTTCAGCTTAATGAAGTGGTCTGGGTGCCAGGTCCAACTAGTGGTCTGGGTGCCAGGTCCCTTTTTTTTTTTTTATAAACATAGCAGTTTCAGAGAAACTGCTATGTTTATAATAGGGTTAATCCAGCCTCCAAATCCTCTAGTGGCTGTCTCATTGACAGCTGCTAGAGGCTCTTGCGTGATTCTCACTGTGAAAATCACAGTGAGAACACGCAAGCGTCCATAGGAAAGCATTCTAAATGCTTTCCTATGAGACCGGCTGAATGCGCGCGCACCTCCTGCCGTGCATGCGCATTCAGCCGAAGGGGAGGAGAAGAGGCGGAGAGGAGGAGGAGAGCTCCACGCCCGGCGCTGGAAAAAAGGTAAGTTTTAACCCTTTCCTCTCCCCAGAGCCGGGCAGGAGGGGGACCCTGAGGGTGGGGGCACCCTCAGGGCACTATAGTGCCAGGAAAACGAGTATGTTTTCCTGGCACTATAGTGGTCCTTTAACCCAAATACCCATTGTAATGTACAATATTGTAATATTTGCCAACAATGTGGGGTACTGGGAGATATTTATGAGCAAATGTCTGTTTTTTTTTGTGCACGCAAAAATAAAGAATAAAAAAATAAATAAAAAAGGGCACAGGTCAATGCTCTGAAGGGGCATGTCAGTCTAGCGTCATGCATGCCAAGCTGACTGACAACCTGTCTGGCCTTCTCCCAACACAGAAGACCATACAGAGAGTGCTGTGAACGTGCTCTCTGCATGGTCTTAGTGCCCACTGCACAGTGTGAGCATGACTAATGCTGCTCTTGTGCTTTGCTGTGCTGTGCTGACTGGGGGATGTGGGACACCAGGGAACTAAATCGGGATGTCGGGACAGGACCTGAAAATATTGACTGCCCTGCCCAAAGTGGGACATTTGGGTGGCCTGTGTTGTTTGCAAGGGGAGAAGATCACTTTAACTATGCTGAAGTATGTTGCATTAAAAATGAAATGAAAAATACATATATAATATCCCTGCACTTACATTACTCAGTGTTGTGCAATCTGGTTTATTGCAACACCATAATATTTTGTCACTAAACCAGGAATTTGGGAGAATTGTCAAAGAAATGTTGAGAGAAAAAAAAATCTAAATTTCAGCTTCTGTCACATATATTTTTGCATAATGTTTACAATCCATACAATTGATAGTTTAGTGAATGACTCTACACTTCTATTATATATTTAAATACATAAAGTCAAAGATTCCCACTGAAACATTATTTTATTATTAAAATATGTTGTTGCAGCACATGTTGTTAAATAGTAAAAAATAAGAGTTTCTTGTTTTAAGCCTTCTTGCTTTTCCTGATCATTGTTGCTGAACCAATTGTGATTGTCTGTAAGAAAAGAGAAAGACACCCTTTTAGTTTTTTTCCCATCATTCGTCTGTCATTGTTCTGTCATATTTTGCAAAGTTTACATTCAGCTTCCAGTTTTCTTTCCACATTAAAAATAAATGCTAAACTTTGATGTTTATGTTTAGCCCAAAAGCAGGTCAATCCAGGTTTTTTTTTATGTAAACGTACTGATAATAGACAAACAGACTAAAACCAGCAGATTTCACTTTACGTGTGTTGTTTTGACAGTCATGTCTTTTGTATGGACCAGAATGCTGCAATAAAAGATTTTTAAATTCATGTTTATTTATCTAACAGTGCCCAAGGATCCTGTTGCGGCCTACTGGGGCCTGGACTGAGGAGAGGCGGCCAATCTCCTTGTTCCCTAGCCCTACACTTGGATCCGCTGTACTCCCGCCCCTCTCCTGGACCAGTGGGGGATAGCCCGGTCCTTTCAGTGCTGACAGAGGGGCCTACTGACGGTGAAAAGCATCGGAGAAAACCTGTGCATCCTGTTCCTCACTCACCTAGGCCGAGGGCCACATGGGGCTTGTATGCCCTGCATCGTCCACCAGTGCGGAGAACTGTTCGTGTTAGGCAGTGCCTGTCACCCCGATCCTCCGACCACACTCAAAAGAGGATAGTCTCGGACTATAACAGTAACTGAGCCTGTGGCACATAGATGCAGGTTCTCGTCAAGGCCTGGGCCTGGAGAGGCACCCGATCCTGGCACCAAGTTCCTTCGGGCAGTGCAACCATCATGCTAACTGTGGGAGTCGGCTGAGTCTGGCGGATTACCGATTGCCACCCCTGTTCAGCATCACCTTACCTGACACATAACCAAGTATCACCACTTCTCTCCTTACATTTTTGTTTCATTATTTTTGTGTATACCTGCATATTAATACAAAGGTATAGTGCACTAGTGTTATTCTGTCAGCCTGAGATTTTCCGTCTTGAAAACAGCATGTTATTTCCTGATTCTTTACTTTAAAAAACAAAACTGAGGCTCGCTGTATCTGAATGTCATACTTACCATACTCGTAAATGTTTTACTCATGACTGTATATGCATTTTCTGCAATGTCTGATTGTTCATATCTTTGCCTCAATAAAACAAAAATATTTATCCAACAGTTTTATATAGTGCTGTCATAAGGGCCGGACTGGGAAAGAAACAGAGAGACCAACTGGTAGAGGGTTGAGACATGGGGGGAGGGGCATGTTGTGACATCACCATTGACAAGCAAGGATCCATAGTGTGTATATGGAATGTACTGTGTGCGTCATGGATGTACTGTGTATTTCAGGGATGTACTGTATGTGCTAGGGATGTACTGCATGCCCGTGCAGGTATTTTAAGCTTAAATTTAGGTTGCTGCCTAGTAACACCTAGTGGCAGTCACTTAATGGCCACTAGAGGTGCTTCCTAGTCCAGTGCAAGAGATGCTGATTTGGGCAGTGGGCATTTTGCCGCATATATGCTGTAGCCTCCCAATGCTATGGAAAAGAATTGGATTGGCTGAGATCATCAAGATTGATAATCTCAGCCATGGAGGTGGAGTCAGGCACGTCCAGCCGCGGAAAGATCGGCGCAGCATGGGAGAAAAAGTAAATAAAATCACCTTTTTACTGAGATTGGAGGGTGCTGGTCACCTAAACAGCCACTTGAGGACTAGAGAGTCAGGAATACAAGTTTCTATTCCTGACACTATAATTCTCCATTAAAAGAGGATATGAGAGGAAATTGCAGAACTTGTCATGACAGACATGTTTTTATTCTAACACAATTATCAATAGTCCTAAAACACACACACACATACACGCTTTTTATTGCAGTAAAATGGAGATGAGTGGAGGATTGGCGCTGCTCCACCTTGACCCTTTGGATTAGCCTCCAATGATGCAAAATGGTGCGAGCTTACCATCTTGATGGATAGGCTGAGACAAAATGTAGCAGGCAAGAAAATACAAATGAAATAAATGTAAATGAGATGCATGACAGATGACAGCTATTTAGTAATTTCAACTAGGTGGATAGTTTTTGTTTCTAACTTAGAGTGGAACAAGGGGTTTGGGGGTCATCTAGCAAATGGATGGTATAGTGAGCAGACTATGGTATTTCCCAATGGTATTTAGATTTTTTTGTAAATTCATTTTGAGTGGGCAGCAGACTTATAGTGGGTAACTGTTGGAATGTATTCATAATGGGTAAAGATTCCTATAATGACTTATAATTAACATTACATTAACTAGAGCTTCTGCTCCAGTGCTTGATACCCACCTCCACCATTTCAGATCCCTGAATTTCTTGAATATGGGAGAATTTATCGCTCTTGCAGATTAGTTTTCCTCCTTCCAGGTTAACGGTGACCTAAAGACACAGGACTTTGTTATTTTCACACATATAACAACACCACCACATACTATATAGTTTTCATGAGATTCCTCAAGATAGTAATTTATCACAGCTTTGATATAGAGGCAATACATGATTCAATTTACATATCAGTTATAGTTTTATTAAAGGGTTACTCTAAGCAGCATAATCCCTTCAATGATTTGAGTAGTCATGGTGCCTGGAGTTTGTATGTGCAGCATTTTGAATACATAGATTAACCCCTCTGCTGCTGGAAGGGGGGCCACCATCAAGGCTGATACTAGAATTCCGAGCTGAATAATGTCAATTCAATTGCACAGAATGACAGTCATTGGCTGAGAGCAGTCAGCTCATGCTTTTAGCCAATTAATGTTGACTACCACCACTTCTAGCTTCTAAAGCTCTGCTGAGGCTGAAAGCATGTTACTGGACCACCAGGGAGAAATGGTGGGGACCCAGGTAAGGGAGCAGACCATTGCTAAATAATTTGCCCCGTTACTGAGGAACTGGGCCTGGGTACTCCTGGCATATAACTACTACAGTGGGCAGAAGTTGTTATGATGCTTGGAGTAACCCTTTAACTCAAAACAAAAGATCTCCTTATAGGCTGATTTTCCTGCAAAAGCAAGCAGTTAATGCCAAAATAGATCATTGGAAAAACTCTGAAAAAGCTCTCTACCCTCTATTAATATCCTCATTAATTAAAATAATTATTCCAATTTAATAGGTTTAGTAAACTATTTCTAAGAAACTATTCCTATTCATAAGAAATAGAGTAAAGGAGTATGCGAATAATCACAAAAGCAAAACAGTGTTTATTGCATGATTTTCTCTCCTCACCTTTGGGAAACTATAGTGCTAAGAAAACAAATTCATTCAGGTAAACCTGGCATAATGGCTCCAGGCGACTCTGAGCGTTGCCGCAGATTACCATGGCAACGTTTTGATACTATGAGTATGAAGCTTGTGGAAGCCATTACACCAAGTCTCCAACTGACAAAAGGTGAGGTTAGAAGCTCTCTGTACTGGGGGCAATCTTAATTTTTGGTAGGACTTTGACTTGAAGAAAATCAGATTAATATTAAGAAGTGATTTCATGAACAGGTTATGGATACTCTGGCATGGAGGAGACAATACAATGAAGTAAGGAGAACAATTGAGATGAACTGAGAGGAAATGGAGACGACAAGGTCATTTAAGGTCAGTAAGGGAGTAGTTTAGCTAAAAGGGTCAATTCACTAAATGTAAACTGCGATAAAGAGATAACTGAAGATTTAGCCAAAACAAGCTGTATTGGGGAAAATTAGGAAAAATCAGCAAATCCTATACAATTGGGATAACTGACTCAACCCAAACAATTCAAAGCACTCCTGGTAGTATAAACACTATCACACAGCCATGTTGTACTTGGGCATAATACATAGAGAAATATTGTTACCTTAATTTTTTTCCCATCAGGTGTGGTAATTTCCGATTCTTTTCCAACAGTGAAAGTATTAGTGTTGGTTTGTTTAGGTGTCTTTGATGAGACAATGAAGTTGTCTCCATTTTGTTGAATTTCAATCACTGGATTGATATCTTTGGCCACCTTAACAATTTCTTCTGGCAACCCTGGAATTAGTGATGTTATATATAATTTATTATCTGATATAATTTTATTATCACAGTTGCAAATTACTGCATTCTTCTAAGACTGAGCCACACTTTCTATAATACAGACAATCACACAAACTCTGAAAACGTACTCTAGTATAGACATATCCTGTTGTCCTGTTAGCACTGTCACTTTACATGTTTTGTTTATTAATTTATCCTTTGTGTCTCTCTATTTCCCATTGCTTTTATTTATTTTTTAATGCATCTTATTTTTTTTTAGTTGTACATGAGGCTTAAAACTGTATGCCCTATGCTACTACCCAGACCTTAACATTTTCTCACAACTGTAAGCCATAGCATATGCATCAGGGGTGAATTTTTTTTCTCGCCAGAGCAACTAGGTTAACACTGAAAGAGGGTCCCTGGCCACCCACAGTACAACCCCCACTGAAGATATGGCAGAGATTATACACTTCCTTTTAGTCATACCAATTTATACCAGCAATTGTGATAGATTGAAAAAGGTCAGCTGGCACTCTCAGCCAATCACTGCCACCCATTAAAACTCAGGCTATTGCTTTCTCATTAGCTCAAGCAGCAAACAGGGGATAAAGAGAATCTCATAATGGTATTATGTGTTTATTATTGTTGTGGGTACCATTTGATATTGATCTAATTCTAAATAATTCATAATTTAGTACTAGTATTTGTTATTTTTTAAAATTTAATTTGGATACAATATTCTTTTTTAAGGTATTATCCCTGCTCAATCCCAATTGGATTTTGGTTTTGTCCTTCCAGAAATAGTAAAATGCAGTAATAATAATACTGACTAATTGCAAGTGAATTTCATTTTCACATTTTGTTCTCCCTCCATACAAATTAGTAAAGAAGGAAGATACTTACCCAGAGACCTCAGGAAATTGTCATAATTCTCTTGCACATAGACCTGCCAGGTTCCAGCGAATGACATGATGTCACTTGGTATCCAATAGGGCAGAGCTCAGGTCGCAGGAGAAGAGAGGAGTGATAGTATAGTATCTGTCCTGCGGCACTTTATACCTGTCTAGACACACCATCTTACACATTACAGATCATAATTATTAACGAAAGAGCCATCAATCATTAATGCATTGTTTGACAGGGATGTGGATGACCGACAGTTCAGTGTTCACCCCTCTCTACATTAGGTAATATGATGTAAGGTTATAGATGCTCTCTTTTGTAATACATTTAAACTCATTTTACAATCTGATCAGTCATTAGAATGTCTGTCTAGTACTTAATAAAAAAAGCATATATGACAGAAAAATGTGATAGGTCAAGTAGGAAATATGAAGAATGTCTTACTTTGCAAAGAGAATTTTAAATACTCACATCAGGAATGTAATAGCAATAAATGTATTTCTTACAGTGGGAGCACTTCCCTCCTGCCGGTAACAGTATGTAACGTGGTTGTGCAGAAAGTGCTCACTGAGGAACTGGGGTGGAGAATGAGACACATGGAGGAGCTTGGGGTAGAGAATGAGATACATGGAGGAGCTTGGAGGGGGAATGAGACACATAGAAGTTCTGGGTGGGGATGAGATGCATGGGGGGGGCAGGGTAATTTTTGCACCGGGCGTTCCTAGTTATGCCTTTGATTTCTTATCACCTATTCTAAAACCCTCTGAATGTCTTCTACTTTGAGTTTGTTCCATGCGGTTTTGAAGAATGGCAAGGCTATGATACATCTATAGTTCTTTCTAAGTTATTGTAAACAAACAGGAATTGCTCAGTCATCACTGATACACGTATGCCACCTAGCTCTGGCATTATCACAAAAAGGAGAGAGGTGATATGTAGTTGAGCATTTACTTTTTTTTATTATTATGCCCACTGCCATTACTGTGAGTTTTATTCTGTTCATTATAGTACATATAAATCCTTTAATTTGCAAACAATTTACACATGATATGCACAGGTGTAAAGAAAAAAACATATGGAATGCTTTACTTTAAGCAGACATTCAACCATATACAGCCAACATCTCAGTCCCACCTTACAGTGACATCTTTAAACAAGTCTGATGATGACATTGAAGCATTGATTGTGTGCTGTTGCACACATGTAAAAATTAAAAAAATTATCTTGTTCATTTTACAGTACTATAAGTATGCTCTTTCTCATGTGATATATTATCAGACTGGATTATGCGCAAGGCAACCTAACCTGGCAGACTGAAAACGGAGACCTTGTTACATAGATGACGACATGTATTAATGTAGTTTTTGATCATATTATGCCTTTTTACATGTTTATTAACCCCTTAAGGACACATGACATGTGTGACATGTCATGATTCCCTTTTATTCCAGAAGTTTGGTCCTTAAGGGGTTAAAGGGACACTCCAAGCGCCATAACTACTACAGCTATGGTCAGGGCAAGTCTAAGGCAGGCCAGGCAGATGATTTTGAGCGCCCCACAAGTGGGATGGAGCAAAAAACATTTAGCTATAAGGCAGAGTAGGTTTCTGCCTACTTTGCTGAAATGTGCAGTGCATATGAGAGATGTCACTCTGGTCTAAGTCTCACTACAAGAAGTGCAAGGGAGCTGAGCGGGCAACACACAAAGATCAGAGTAGCTCCCCAATGGAATGCAGTGGTTAATACCCACCAAAGGTGGTGAAAGGAAGGATAATCAGTGTACCAGCTTTAAAGTCATGGGTGACCAAGGTTCATTGATGCACATGGGCAGCAGGATGCACTATGGCAAGAAGACAGACTGGCTGAGGAAACCATGGGTCCTGGCATTCATGTGGATATTAATTTGACACTTACCAACTACCTAGAGATTGTTGCAGACCATGTACATCCCTTAATGGCAATGGTGTTCACTGATGGCATGGCCTCTTTCATCATGCTGCACTGCCAAAATAGTTCTGAATGGTTTGAGGAACAGGACAATCAGTTCAAGGTGCTGCCTTGGCCTCCAAATTCCCAGATGTCAATCCAATTGAACATCTTTGGGATGTGCTGGAACAACAAATCAGGTCCATGGGATCCACACCTCGCAACTTGCAGGTCTTGCAGGCCTTGCTATTATACTCTGTTTTTATCACTTTATTTATTTTATTGTATTTAAATAAATATAGATGTTATTCTCAAAATCCCAGGGCCATCCTGTTTTATTTTAAACATCTTCTGGACTCCAACCATCGAAGCCCGTATTTTCATAAATTTTCACGTATTTTACAGACTTTCAGCTGTTTGCAATTAACAAATCAAACAAAAGCAATTGCAAAAAAGCTCAACACAACTACTGCTATAAGTGATTTCCCCAAATTCAACCGAAAATTCTAATTATAATGACTTCTCCAGTCTCAAACTTTTTCATCCCCCTGAATTGAATCCCCTACTACAGCACAAATACGTGAAACAGGTGTTGTCTCAAGCACACCTGATGCAACTAATCAAGGACTTCATTAGTTGCACCAGGTGTGCTTGAGCTGGAACACTTGAAATACCTGAACTGGCTAGGGGTTTGTTTATTTTTACGTTTGACTGCATGCTAGAAATATGGCTAAGTCAAAGGAATGGTCCACAAAGTTAAGAGAAGAGATCATCACCCTTCACAAACAAAGAACTGGATACAAAATGATAGTGAAGAGACTGAACGTTCCTAGAAAAACTTTTGGAAGCATATTTTGCAAGTTTAAAGTTGAAGGCAGAGTGGTTATCCTACCTGGACGGGGCAGAAAAAGGAAGCTATTAGTGGCTGAAACCAGATTTCTGAGATGAATAATTTTGATTACAACTGTATATGTCATGGAGAAGACACTGTCCCACGTATATCCTAGAGTGGGGATCATACCACTTCACACTATTTAGGGGAGCCATTAAGGAGCCATTAAGGAGGCTCCATCCCATGTGAATGCGATTATATTAATTTATTTAATTTACCCATCTTATTCTGATCTACTACTCTATGTAGTGTATTATTCTGTTTTTATTTCATATGTTTGATCATCCACCTGGACCAAGAACAGAAATCCAGAAGATGGTGGTAAAAAATATATTCGGCTTTATTTGTAAGTAAAAGGTGAACATTCACCAATAAAATTAAAAACAGAGGTTGGTTCTACGTGTTTCGTCCAAATACGCTTGGACTTCCTCAGGAACCTAAAATCAATCTGTATAACAGTACCATGCAAAATGACTTACAAAAATAAAGCAGCCTAACCCTCCCACTCTCAAGTCCTCTTAAATTTAGCATTTCTGTTCTTAAAGGAGTATACACGGACCGAGGCGTGGGTTTACAGCCCCCCAATACCATCGGGGGGGCACCCTTTGAATACTTTTACATCTTCGATTCTGTGAGTGCAATGATTATTAGCGCACATATATAATTTATAGCAGTATCACACTATTTCTTTGTTTTGTGTTCTCTTTTAGATTATACAGCCGTTTCCCATGTTTTGTTGTTTCTATTCCTATTGATGTAAGATCACCATCTGGGAGGTGATCAGTGGGAGGCTGTCCTGTTTACTATTAGGATAAGTATATGTTGTACCTTATCACACTATCTACACATTTATTTTTGTGGTGATAGCAAAATTCTTAATGTCTATCCCCTTCTATATCCATGTCCCAGTGTTTTACTCTTCTTATCTCCCATTGCCTCTACCCTAAATTGCCCTATTGCTTGAATGTTCTTCTGCTTAATCTGCTAATCTCCTTCATTTGCATTCTATTCCCTGATATTTTCCATTTAGTTTCCTATTCCAGGTCACTTCCATTGCCCAACTCCTGGATTAGCTTCACTGCCCTACCTATTTCCTAGTGCCTTTTTTTAAAAACCTTTCCCAGTGTTTTACTCTTCTTTGCCCAAATCTGTTTCCCAAACTGTGCTTAAAGCAACACTATAGCATTTGGAACACAAACCTGTATTCTTAACGGTGTAGTGCCTTAGTCAATAGTTAGTTCTGAAGCCCCCCCAACTGCAATAAAAATAATTAAAATAAGGTTTTGCTTAACCGTTCTCGGGTGCGGCCTACTGCAGCGTCATCTGGCAGGCGTCACTCTCAATCTGATGGTCCAATCCATTGTTGTAGAGGAAGCGCCTCTTGTGGCTGTCAGAAAGACAGCCGCTAAAGGTGTGTTTAACCCAGCAATGTAAACATTGCAGTTTCTAAAAAAAACTGCAATGTTTTACATTGCAGGATTGAAATGACAGGTCCACTGCACCTAGACTACTTTATAGAGATTGAATGGTCTGGGTGCCTTTAGTTTTCCTTTAATTAAAAGTATTTCTATTCTCTTTTGCCAAGTGAAGATATTTATAAGTCTTACTGATTTATTGCATTTATTTTTAATTTAATCATGTTGCACAGCATTATATACATTGTAAGATATATTGTAAGATACACAACCTTTCAAGGCGTTTGATGTTAAAATGCAAAGTGAATTGGATGATTTTGAAAGTAGGATCATCACAGTGATGTCCACCTTTGGGGAACCGGCCGCATGAGTCACTTTAACCTTTTTCCCATGCTTACCCTCCCATTGTTCTTCTTGTTTTTTGTTTTTATGTTATGGGCATTAGACTGTGAAATGGATACGAACTGAACTGAAAAAAAATTATAATTGTGTAACTGTTGTTGTGATCTGTTTTCGGTCTTCTGCAACAAATTGTTAGCGAAACAAGATAGAGTGGGTGTATACATCTAATAGTGATACATACAAACTTGGTGTTGAATAACTGAGAAGGCCCAAAGTGTAGGTTTTTAAGAAGGAAGGTGGATGGAAAAGGTTCTCCCTGTGGAGACAGAGGATGAGGAAATACCTCCAAGAAAGAAGTTTTGAGAAAGGAACAAGACATTCCGCTTCTGAAGGGAAGAGACTTCTACTATGTTCAATTTGTTTCGTAGATCCCTGAGTAGAATAGAAATTAATATACTTAAAAAAAGGGCTTGTCCTTCTCTCCCACTACACACTTTGATATTTGTTTTACAACTTGTTGGACTGAAATAATTTCGTACAGTCACTGGTTTTTGCTAAGCACTTTAATCAATTATGAGATGCAGAGAGATCAGAATAATAAAATCGGAGTACAGAACTACTGGGGGTTGATGAAAGTGCGAGTTCATTAACCTTCAAAGAAGTATGTGCTTTTGAGGATATGAAGATTTGTAAAGAGAATCTCATGTTGAGGGTACTGCTGCATTAAGTTGTGATCCATCTTAGGTTTTGCTAAAAAATTATTGAGTAATTACAGGAGTTCTCTAGTAAGTTGAGTCTAGAAGTTCCATTGTGTCCACCTTTCACCCTCTGTCCAAAGTCCATAAATTAGTTTTTCCTCCTGTTGATAGACCTGTGGTGTCCGGTAATGGGATATATTTGATAGATTTATTATTATATTGGTGGGACAAGAATTGTAAGTGGGTTTCAATGGAAGTTTGCTCTATCTAATATGTTATCCAACATGACATGGTCAAAGAAGCAATTAAGTTCCATTTGAGTATACAGAATAATTAAAACATTTTATTTTGTAGTCTATTGAATACTTGTTGAATCATATTTATTTTAGGATTAACTGCAATTTCAATCTCTAAAGATGTGGATGGGTTGATATTTGCTGCCACTTCTATATGTGATGGTGGGAGTCCCATCTCTTTGGAGATCTTAAACCTTTTTATGCTATATTGATGACATGCTCTTTGTTTTTGATGTTCCTGATTCTGGTATACAAGATTTTTCTTAGCTATGTAAAAAAATAATTACTTCTGGCACTCACTCTGATGACTCATCCATGGGAAATAGCTTTTTTTGATTGTGACATTACATGTTGGCAGATATGATATGTTAAAATCTAGTCCATAAACCTCACTCACCCTCATTTATACTCTAGTTATGATTATCAGACTGTAGAGGAACACATTTCTCTGAAGAAACCACTAGTCAATGATATCATTACTGTAAATGTACTGAAAATGTCTGCTCACCCCATCCTTTCACACAGTACAAGAAATTTCAATGGGTCATATTCCTACAGTCAGGGATGGGGAAAGAGTTAATAGACTCTACCATTTCACTGTCTGCATTACATTAGGATTGCTAGCATACCAGCGTCTGAACAGAGAGACGTCAGTCACTCCGTTCCTATACTCGCTCGTCAGCAAAAGCAGCATCAGCTATGGCGTTACCACAGCAACCACAGCTGAAGTTGCTAAGCTTGGAGAGCTGTGGGATGTCTCTTCTGCTCTCCCTGTCAGTCCATTCTTCCACACAAAGTCTATGCTATAGAATTGATGGTAAGGTGGGAGAAAAACCTATTTTTACATAGATTTATCTCCTTGTGAATACATTTTCGAGCAAAACAAATTTGATTTATCTGAATCGATTCATCTGGAAAAAAAAATTGTTTCGGGTTGTAACGGATCGCCTGCCACCCCGACTGGGTACCTCCGTTGAAGGATGCTCCTAGCGCTTCCTGAGGACTCCAAGCACTCTGGCAGACACCACAATCACCGAACCGGAGAAACAAATAAATTCTCCCAAGCATATGAATGCTGTAGACAGTTGAATAGGAACCATACAAATAGGTTTACTCTCCTAGCAGTCAAACTGGAACAGCATACAATAAATCCTTCCCCCAATAATGAGACGACACTTCACTTTGAGGGTTAAAACAGGAACTCGGGTGCTGGCACACCCAGCCTGGTTTTTATTACAGTCTTTGCAAATCCAGGACCGCCCACAGGGAGGTATAAAACAACCAATCACATCACAGTTATATCCCACATATTCCCTCCCCTTATCCTGAGAGGAAACTCAATTACACATACAGTTAAAACATACTTTTTACCCAACTTTCATAACTCTAAAACTATACATCACATTCACATAAAATTACATATTCACAATCAATCCATTCAGGGGAACAACATATTAAAAAATGGCATGAATCAGACCAGGGGTTCAGAAGTTAGCACAAGTATCTTTTGGGGCCTGGCTGGCAGCATGGCTATCTGGCCCAAACTGGTTTCAGAGTCTTCTATCCTGGAGATAATTGAGAAGTAATGCAATTATCTCCAAGGACAGAGGAAAAACTCCATTAGCCACATGGCAGACAAAGTACAACAAAAGACATAAAAATACATACTGTTACATTTATCACATAGAACCTACACATTTACAATTTACCGAACACATAATAGCATATATAATATTGCAGACCGCCTGAATGCAATCTGCTACACAGTCTTAAAGGGACATTGTTCCTAAAAGTCATAATATGTCCAGGGATGGTTTTTTAAAGGGCCAGCAGCAGCACCATACAAATCCAATATGCCCAAATATTGTACTTGAAAGGCCAAATAACCCAGGGCCATAGTCATGAGGCAAGAGGCTGGCAATCAGGCTCCTCCAACAGCCAGGGGAAAATTTGGTGACAAAAGGCGTTTCGTCACACGGGTTATTTGAGATTTGTCCATGTGGCATTTCGGTTAAAAAAAAAAAATAATGTGGTCCTTGAAATCATTTTGGGAAAAATTACTGAGATGAACCCAAAAAGTGTGAGAATTGGCCAATGTACTGCAAAATACCAATCTTATGTATATATTTCCAGTACATTGATATGGGTGCATTTTCATGCCATTTGGTCCATAGATCAAGTGAGCAAAAGTTGAACGAATCGCAATTTATTCGAAACCGACTGCACAAATTTAGTATAAATAGATTAAAATGTTATTTATTACTTTAAATAGATAAATACATTTATGTACCATGACAGATGCCATTTTAAATCTAGTCACTGTGAGTGTTTTCAGTGTATGTGCAAACAGACTTTTCTATGTTTTGTTTTTCTCTACATATGTGGAAGATATATGCTTGGAGTGCCCAGACATTGAAAATCTGTAAAATGCCTATATTTAATCTTCTTTTGTAAGTCAACATTTGGACTGATATTTCTTTTTTTTTTTTTAACATTTCATAGGACATTAAAGTATGTTTTTATGCTTCTCTTTTTTCATAAGTATAAAGACTTTTGAATTTTCTTTTATTTCATTTTGAATTAATTAATTCACTAAGGAAAACAAAATAAGAGGTTTTCTTTTCTGCCTCTTCTTTTTCTCCCACACTTAAGGGTTTTTTAAGATCACTTTTTTCAAATACATTGCTGGGTATAAATTTTTTTCTATGCACTATTTTGTGTTTAAATTGTACAGATCTGCAAAACTCACACATTATGGATTAATGTCCAAAGCAAAGCATATCAAATATCTATACAATGGAAAATATAACTAGATTAATGTGTTAATATATAGCTCATTCTTTTATATTATATATTTTCATCAAACAGCTATTAAAGTCTATTAAAAAAAATCAGATTAAACATATCCTTTAGAAATATATCACTTTGGCTTTTGAGTTTTTTCCCAGGCCTTTTTAAGTTCCTCTGGTTCTTCTCCATGTTTGAAGACGCTCACAGTAACCTGTCCAACCTCAGAACCATATTTGTTCTTCACAGTAATACTATATCTCCCAGTGTCTTCAGCACATATCTTTTCAATGGTCATGGTTACCACTGTTCCTTTCACATCTAGCTTGTATCGATCTTTGAAGACCACCTTCTTATCATTCTTTACCCAGCAGATTTCAGGAGCTGGGTCTCCTGATATGTGACATGTTAAACATAATGTCTGTTAAGATAAACAGAAAACGTATCAGTTTTCAGGAAAGCGACAATCTAATTTATGTTTACTACTAGTTGTTCATCCTGAATATTAAATTCACCAGATATTTCCTTTGACACAATTCCCATTATACCTTGGCACAGACATACCAAATTATGAATTGCTCTTTTTAGAGTATATAAATAATAATAATAATAATCAATAATAGTAAGCCAATAGTGCTGTTATGTGCAAATCAATATTGTCTGGAATTGTCAGTATAGAAAAGACTGTGGATATATATATACTAAATATAGTATATATTAAATATATGAAATAATTATAATTCAAAACAGGTACAGGGGATATATGTTTTCCTAACATTAAATGTCAGCCAAACAACTAAAAATCACAACCCAAAATGCATAATCAAAAGCATTGGACAGTATAGATAAAACACAAAAATAGCATTTTGCTCCATCTATGATTCACTTACTGAAAGAATAACATTGAATAATTTTTCATTATTATTTAAAATAAAAGCTTGCATTATACATATATATACAGTATATATCCTTTCACTTAATACAGTTGCAAGAAAAAGTATGTGAACCCTTTGGAATGATATGGATTTCTGCACAAATTGGTCATAAAATGTGATCTGATCATCATCTAAGTCACAACAATAGACAATCACAGTCTGCTTAAACTAATAACACACAAAGAATGAAATGTTGCCATGTTTTTATTGAACACACCATGTAAACATTCACAGTGCAGGTGGAAAAAGTATGTGAACCCTTGGATTTAATAACTGGTTGGACCTCCTTTGGCAGCAATAACTTCAACCAAACGTTTCCTGTAGTTGCAGATCAGATGTGCACAATGGTCAGGAGTAATTCTTGACCATTCCTCTTTACAGAACTGTTTCAGTTCAGCAATATTCTTGGGATGTCTGGTGTGAATCGCTTTCTTGAGGTCATGCCACAGCATCTCAATCGGGTTGAGGTCAGGACTCTGACTGAGCCACTTCAGAAGGCATATTTTCTTCTGTTTAAGCCATTCTGTTGTTGATTTACTTCTATGCTTTGGGTCATTGTCCTGTTGCAACATCCATCTTCTGTTGAGCTTCAGCTGGTAGACAGGTGGCCTTAAGTTCTCCTGCAAAATGTCTTGATAAACTTGGGAATTCATTTTTCCTTCGATGATAGCAATCCGTCCAGGCCCTGACGCAGCAAAGCAGCCCCAAACCATGATGCCCCCACCAGCATACTTCACAGTTGGGATGAGGTTTTGATGTTGGTGTGCTGTGCCTTTTTTTCACCACACATAGTGTTGTATGTTTCTTCCAAACAACTCAACTTTGGTTTCATCTGTCCACAGAATATTTTGCCAGTACTGCTGTGGAACATCCAGGTGCTCTTGTGCAAACTGTAAACGTGCAGCAATGTTTTGTCTGGACAGCAGTGGCTTCCTCTGTGGTATCCTCCCATTAAATTTATTCTTGTTTAGTGTTTTACATATTGTAGATTCGCTAACAGGGATGTTAGCATTTGCCAGTGACTATTGTAAGTCTTTAGCTGACACTCTAGGATTCTTCTTCACCTCATTGAGCAGTCTGCGCTGTGCTCTTGCAGTCATCTTTACAGGACGGCCACTCCTATGGAGAGTAGCAGCAGTGCTGAACTTTCTCCATTTATAGACAATTTGTCTTACACAGCAAGGCTTTTGGAGATACTTGTATAACCCTTTCCAGCTTTATGCAAGTCAACAATTCTTAATCGTAGGTCTTCAGAGAGCTCTTTTGTGCGAGGCATCATTCACATCAGGCAATGCTTCTTGTGAAAAGCAAACCCAGAACTAGTGTGTGTTTTTTATAGGGCAGGGCAGCTGTAACCAACACCTCCAATCTCATCTCATTGATTGGACTCCAGTTGACTGACATCTCACTCCAATTAGCTCTTGGAGATGTCATTAGTCTCGGGGCTCACATACTTTTTCCACCTGCAATGTGAATGTTTACATGGTGTGTTCAATAAAAACATGGCAACATTTCATTCTTTGTGTGTTATTAGTTCAAGCAGACTGTGATTGTCTATTGATGTGATTTAGATGATGATCAGATCACATTTTATGACCAATTTGTCTAGAAATCCATATCATTCCAAAGGGTTCACATACTTTTTCTTGCAACTGTATCTTGTTTACACTTGCACAATTGCAGGTCACCATCCTATGATCAGAAACACTTTTTATCCAACCTAACACCATGCAGGTAATTGG